AATCTAGATCCTTCCAAACCGTCTGATGGTGCAGAAAACTTCAAGAGTGACAATGTCGAGACCCCATCTTTCAATGAGGACGAGATCGACTACGGTCGTGATTCTGATCTAGAAGATGAAGACGAACGAAACGTGATCATCGAGATCCAGAGGAGCACACAACAATATGAGGGGAAGAAACGTCAAGATGGTGAGCCCGAGGATGAAGACGTCACCGACGACTTACATCCGGAGGCGAATCGACCGACAGATCGCGATGAACCGGGATACTATGCACAGCATGGAGCGACCGAGTTCAATCCCGAAGAAGGAAGAGACAACGAAGATCTCCCCATCTATTGTCGAGTACCGGAACCTCGAATCTATGCGCATCAAGAGAGAGCCTACTGTCAGGACGTCTCCGTGAATGCATCGGGTTTGATGGATAGGTATGTGGTCAATGTGTGCTGAACATGATCTCCCTGATGTACAAGAGCTACTATTGCACCAGCCTTACCGACTTCAAAGCAAATTGGAAAAGGAAGCGACTGGATGTGATAAGCAAGTTCGGTACAGGGGATTCCACAGAAATCGATGACGATGGGAGACCATTGGATCCAACAGATGATATGATGTTAATCTTTGCCAACGACAACAATATTACAACTGAGGAGGCCTGGCACCGATTCAGAGGAGAGCAATTCATTTGCAAGGTGGCACTCGTGATCCTATCATTTGGTCATACTCCGCAATCCTTCAAGGAGGAATATGGCAACTTCGAATACTCCACCAACTTGACTGATGCCCAGCTTGAGGAGTTGAAAGCGAAGAAAGCCAGCGCAATGACTGAATTGGTACAGAAGTGCATCCATGCGATTTATGGGTGTCGGACATATTCTTACTTTAGAACCGACATTACATCACCCTACCACAAGGTGATCGATCCTCTGGACATCATGTACTCGAGAATGAAGAGCAAGTGGGAGAAGTCTATTCTGTTGATCATTGATCAACATGAGATCAGGTTGCCCCCACAAGCTCAGGAAGTCATAGAGTCAATGGCCAGAAACCCCAACGTTGGACATACAGAGAGATGGATGAGCGTGGTAGAACATAAGCATGTTCAAGCTCTTACCAATCGTCTAGGCTTTGGAGATAGGGCCAAGGAGATTCAGGGCAAGAAGAAGCAGGCAGCCAAGGCAACAGCTAAGTCAACATCAACGACTAAGTCTGAAGCGAAAGCAGCATCTTCGTCAAGAGCTGAGGCAAAGCCAGCATCTACACCCAGAACCGAGGCCAAGCCGTCGTCAGCACCAAGTGAGGAGCCAAAACCTTCAACAGCACCTAAGAATTTCGGGCCCTCATCAGCAGAGGAGAACAAGGCGAAGGCTGCTCCAAAAGCCAGACCACTTGACAAATCACCATCCAGTGCTACCGATGTGTTTGAGCAAGCTTGGCAGGAAGATCTTGCCGCCAACGCACATGCAGCAGAAGGTACAACTTCTTCATCATCCCGAGGACATTCCAAAGGAGGAGGCCAATCTGGAACATCTTGGAGGCCGGCGCTAACGCAAGAACGTCGCGAAGTACCTCAACCTTCTGAAAAGGGGAAGGGAAAGAGCAAATCCAAGGGAAAGTCCAAGAAGGGAGAAGATGATCGGTGGGATGCTCAGGGCAGCTGGGATCATCGTGGATGGAGAGGTTATCACCAGTGGTGATTTCTTTGAACGACTATAAGGATACCATGCAAACCAGGGAGGAAATCATTCACCGGATGTTTATCTGACCTGAAACGCTGTAAGTGTATCATTGCAAATCGTCAATCTGATTTGATACCATGAGCATAATGGAAGGAAGACAATCACCGACTGTCTCTCCGACTTGCCGTTCTGTAAGTGTATCCAAACCAAAACCTACATCTTTTGAGAAGTGTGAAGTCAGTTGCCAATGTGACATCTACGTGGAAGTCACCAGTTCGGATCTACATCAAAGCGATGCTCTTTTGAGTGGATACTGAGCGAGGCCTCGTGACTGTCTCACTTGTTCAATTCGATTTTTTCAAAGGTTCTGAGCCATAGTTGCACACTTTATATGTAAAAGTCCGCTTTAGTCCAGCATGTTTCGTAGTATGAGCCTCATATGAGTCTCGCGGCAAATCATACAATTTCTTTTGTAGCACTTACATCCCTAAATTTTCGTGTGTGATCGGAACATATTGTTGCCGTTCACATGGGGGGTGCGAATGGAAGTGCAGCGACACGTACAGTGCAACTTGTACATATATATGTACCATATGTACTTTGGCTCAAGGATCAAGCGACTAGAAAAGGTGCGGTTTCCGTTCCGACGCTACGCCGCTTATGGACCGTCAGTGATAGCTTCAAACTTCGCTGATTAAGATCCACTCGCAATATATATATATATACAGTATATATCACGAAAGCCAGCCGATAGGCTAGGCTGGAGTTGTCGATTGGCGAACGAAGTGAGCATAGGGGGTGTGGGGGGTAGCTGGCCAGGGGTGTTGTAATGCAAGCGCCGAATAGTGCATCATTAGCATCATGAGGAGCTCAGGAGGCTGGCTATTTGGACAGTCTTTCGACAAGGGGTGGAAGTTCATGTCGAGGACTGGAACGTGACAGGAAAAGCGGTCGGAAATCCATCAGGAAAGTGAGATGTGCGTCTCTCAACCGTCTGTTGTCTCGTGGCTAATAAAAGGGGAACGCAAGAAAGAACATGACCCGTAACAACAGTAATGTTTGCCCACTCTTAGCAGCACGCCGAGTTTATGAGTCCATCTACAGGCCTGCCCCTCAGTTACTTAGGAGTGCCCTTTTCAACTTGAAAACGCCCTTGAACCAAAAGAGAAAGCGCACCCCATCCCCACCAGTGAATGTCCTGCTCAAGTCAACCTTTCTCCTCCGACTGTAAATGTCCTGCTCAACTCAATTTTTTCCTAACGCACGGGCTCCAATACTTTTATCCTATAACTATAACCGCTAATGGGCCTGATCGAAACCTTGTGTATAAAGAACCTGTCATATCGGCCCTCAATGCGAGACTTTCCGCCTCTGCCTTCTATCTCCCCATGCCTGACAGCAGTTCCAGTGCGCTGTCGAATTCACCCCATAACCACATTGATGTCTTCTTACGGAGGCTGGCCTTCGTCCCCTCCCTTCTCAGGTTTATATATTCCGACGTATGACCACCAAAATTGGCTAAAAAGACTTTCACGATCAGTACAACGATGCTCAACAAGATAGCCAGGCTACCTGGCTACCCTTCAAGATCATGCTACGCCTCAAGCGTCAGTCCCGACAAGTTCCTGTCCTGGATCTCCAAGGTCCGTCTCTCGTGATCTTTCTCCAGTGGACGAGACCAAGGCACAACAAGTCCCACATGTATCAAGGATCGACCAGAGATAATTTTGCATTTTTCAAATTTGACCTGTAGATTCTTTGGGAAAGCAGCATCCATGTTCACAACATCCACCTTCAACATCCCTCAATGCAATGAGACCCCGTCAGTGGAAGCCTTTGCTGGATGTTTTTCAACACTTCATTCGGGTGGACAGTTGAACGTTTGGCAGGTGATGGCTTGGCGGCCGCAACCGAGTCCCAAAGGTTGGGCATCCGCATCCGTAGGCTTTTCGCAGCTCTTGGTACTGACGCGTTTGGTATGTGACAGGTGATACTTTTGTTCTTTCATGTGTACCCACTGCCGTGCAGTCATGACTTCTCTCTTGCTGGAGAGTTGGCTTTGCTTGCAGGCCCTGCAGGCCGGAGACGACGTCAAGACAAGCAAGGCAGCTGGGTGATTCCAACATATTCCAACAAGGAATTCCTGCCAACTGAAAAGCCACAAACACCCTATTGACTTCCAGGTTCGGGAAGAGTAGAAAACATAGCAGAGGAGAAGTTATATACAGTAAGTCTACGGTTCGTTGACTTTGGCACCGACCTCTTTGCTTTGTGAAACAGCAGCTTGACGAGCAGTTTGACTCTTGTTCTTACCAGCAGTAAGATTCAATAAGGTGTTTCTCATTGTTTCTCATCCCATTTAGCCCTTAAAATTGTACTGGTCACCTTAGCCAAAGAAAGTGCCTGGGCTTTGTTCCGCTTTGAAGCCGATCAGCTGGTGTTTCACTCACCAAAAGTTGCATTTAAAGGAGATGGTACTATCTACAATCTAGACCATGTCTAGATGTCACTTGAATCCAGATCAACCATGATTGCATCTCTGAATATTCCGATTTCTCTTGTTGAATAGAATTGACAAATGTTCAACAACCCTACATGATAAATGACGTTCAATGGAAAGGACATGCAATGCAGAGCAGCCAAGAAAAGAACAAAAGGAAAGGCAGGCAAGGAACAGACTCGACACAGGAATGTAACGAAGCAGGGCAAATGAGGGCTTGACAGAATTATATTCTATCGAAAGGTCCCTTGTCATTAACATGAAAGGGGTGTCCCAAACACCACCCGTATGAGAATAGATCATGACAGATTCACTATAAGACTACATGGCAGAGAGCGAGAAAGAGCAGCGACATTATGGCACCGCAGGTGTTTCAAACCCACGCTCCTTGTTGGACGCTGAGAAAGATAATGTTGATGTTCGAGTTGTGCAGACATTCTAAGAGCTGTTGTGTTTCAGTTGTGCCTTATCAGAGTTCATTCTATATTCTATATGTGTTTGTTGACTTCCACATTGAACTGCCTGTCACATAATCTGCCTAAGTGGCAGTGGCAACCGAAGCCCAAAACTCGGTAGACCGATTCTATAGAGAGTGCTCATGTTCAAATACATCAACCCTGCTTGGACTATTCAACAATTTTGATTATCACAAGCTTCCTATTATTGCTATCTATATGCTTGCCGACTTTTTTCAACAGGCTGGATATCCATCGAAGTGAGCAACTGCGAATGTTAAGACTATGTTAAGACTAAGACTGTTGGCATATAACTCTCATGCTTAGAGCCAAAGTTCTCGATGAATCTCAATCCTGTCTTTGTCGTTTTGGCTCAAAAGCCCTCGGCAACTCAACCCAGAGCCTCAAGGTTGGAATCGATCTTCGTGCAGAAAAGAACCTCCCAGTCTGTGTGGGAAACTCCCAGTCTTTTTCCGTTTGGTTTGAACATGACCTGACTGAATAACATGGAAACTTCTGGATGACCTGACTGTCAAAGATCTGCATGGTCTCAAAGACACCCTGGAGCTTTGATTGCACAATGGGTGTATCAGGAGTTTTGTCAGCTTGTTTGAACAATGTGGCTTGGTCTGAACACGTTGGAAGTAATTTCTTTCACGCACTACAAGTTTGTCATAGTTTGTCAGTATCCGGGCGTTGGCAGGTCGGTGATGGCATCTCTGGGACAACATGCCAAGAACAAGAAGCCGAAGAGGCAGACCGCAGGAGAGTACACTTTGGCTTGCGATCGGTGACCAATCATACAATGTCTTGCACCTCAAGTGATCTTCACCATGGGCAACTTGACATGTTCAGCTCAGATCCCCGCTACCACATGGCCATTCTACCTTGTATGTCACTTCCCCTTCCTTCAGGAATATCTTGACAACATTTTTCTTGACAGCTCTGTTCGCTGAACGTCTTTGAACAATCCAGTGGCAGGGGTTTGCTGTTTTTGGATTGCAAAATGCAAAACGCCTTATACAAATATATATATATTATCCCGTGTGGCGACAGGCAGACTTCATGCTTCGCCTAGAGTGCGACTTGGCTGAATAATTTGGTTGATGCCGTGGCATGCCAGAAGTTGCTTGCTCCTGTCCTTGTCTTCAGCGCCCAAAAACTCAAGCTTCAATGTTTGTGAGGTGTTGTTCTACGTTGACCTTCCCATGTTGAGTTCCGCTTCAACACTTTACGCTTGATTCATGGTGTTCAAACAGTCCCGGATGGCTGAGATCCTTGTCCTCACGGCAGAAGGGGGCTGATGCCTTCAAGCATGCCTGCTTCCGGCTGGGAAGGCAACCGACCAACGAGACTCAGCTTAAAGACTGCTGAAAGAACCATAATATGATTTTGCCCGCCCAGAACTTGATCACAGGCAAGATAGCCATGTCCAAGACGAGGTAGCCAACAGTACCGATGGATAGCAGGCTTGACGCAGGAAAAGTGCTTTTTTTTTCCAGTTTGCTGTAGATGTCTCCAGTTTGACCTCAGGACATTCTGGCGGATTTGCGTGACCATGGCGTGCCTTTGTTGAAATGCATTCGGACAGGAGCTGCCTGAACTAGCACAGGTGTCTGGCAACCAGAGCGTGTTGGGTCCTCTCCAACAGGTCGGGATTTGTTTCCCACCACCACCACCCCCGCCACCACCGCCGCCGCCGCCACCACCACCACCATATTTTCATGGACATGACCACACCGAACATGTTCACAAAACATACCAAAGAAACACCCAACTTCTTTTGCTTGAGGCACTGGTCCTGGATATTCAGCTTTGCCGAGATTTAGAGCCGCTTCTCATTTTCTTGAAGGACTGCCCCTTGGGCATCCACCAGGCACGGTCTTCTTTCGGTTAGACTAGATATTTAAGCTCAAAGGTGCAGGATGCAATTGCTCAGGACAGCTGCCAGAGCTCCAGATGTCTCAAACGGTTTCCGAGTAAGATTATGTGTTTTCTCTTTAGTTAGTTTGTATATTTGACACATCCGGCATCGCGGTCAAACAGGAAGGTCTGTAGCAGGTGTAAATCTGAGCGTCCTTTGCAATACAATCTCAAACTACCAGGTGATGATCTATGATGGCAACTTGTTTTTTGGATCAGAGGCTTCTTACCAAGCACCTGGGCTGCGTGCATTCTAGAATTGTAAGTCATAATTACTGATACTTCCTAATTAGGCAACCTCAATCGACTGCAACCCATCACTGAGAGTGGGAAGTTTCACAATCGAATGTTTCAGATGTTTCAGAGGCAAAGCATATTTGTTGATGAAGTGGGAACAAGAGGACGCTACTAGGGGCTCCTGGCATCGCTACTAGGAGCAAGGACGCTACTAGGGGCTCCTGGCCTTACTAATAGGAGCAAAGACGTTACTAGGACACAAACTCCAAGCGCAGATTCACGCCGAACTTGGTGTGACGTAGCGGAATTGTCTCATGCCGACAGACAGCAGGTAAATGTGTTGTTTTCGAGCAATCGGAATATCAACTGCTGGATCTTTCGGAATTGAAGGATTGGCGTTCGCCGATGCCACACTGCAGTGTGCATATTGTTCTCAACATAGGAGGCACAGCTTGGATTTCATTCAGTTTCATCCATGTTCCGTTCGATAGTTGGTGCATTTTGGACCTGCAGTGCCGAGGAGAAGCTGCAAGCCACTACCCATCGAATGCCACAGAGTGTGCTCAAAGACCAGGCCACTGTATCTCAACAAATGAAAAGAAATCCGGCGGTTGGTCATTTGGTACTTTGGTGTTTTCACGGGATGCGACACCAGAGAGGTTGGAGGCCATCGCTATTACAGTAGGTTGGAGGCCATCGCTAAATCGCTAGTAGGTTGGAGGCAATCGCTATCAGGAAAAACACAGCCTATGCTTTTTGACCGACATTTCACAGTCGTGGGATCTGCACTGGCAGAGATCTTGATGTCTAGAGCCAAGATGAGGTACACCTGCAACAATTGCAGGGCGTTTCTGCAAGCACAACATGTCTAAAGCCAGTGCATGATAGATCATAACATATCATGATCATAGGAAGAATGGGACGCTGTGACTGTAGTGTCACCACTTACACTAGTTATACCATACGCACAAAGACACTTTGCGGTAGTAAAGAGTAGACTTCAGAGATCAGAGTATCAGGTGCAGCTGTGGCGTTTGATGCGAGCATTAGCTGCATTTTCTTCACTACGTGGCACGGGGTTAGCAGCAATGCCGGCATGTGCTTGATTCAATCAATCAATCCTTACCCCACCGCAATGTATGCCAGACGCATGCTGCCAGTACCCCTTTTCATGATCAATTTGTTGGGCAGTTCTTTGGTTTAGTTCCCCAACCGCACACATGCTCAAGGGTAGGGTGCGACCTTTCGACGGAGGAAGATAGCTTAATCGATCATGCCAGCAGTATTCCAGCTTTGTGGCACATCCTGTTAAGTTTGCACCGCGGATACCAGTTGTAAAACTAATCTAAACTATTTCAACCCAATGCAAGCCAAGCAGCTTGAGTTGTGAATGAGAAGGAATAACATCATCCACCAAATGAACCATCCCTACGAACCGAAGAGCCTCTTCAGCAAGATCTTGATAGCCAGATACCTAGCCAAGTAGAATTATTTACAACTGTGATGTTATAAGTTATGAGTAACAAGATAGCTGCTTCTGTATACTCGACTTCAATGCTAACTTACCACAGAACTAGAAGGCATTAAAATGTCGTTTGTTTTCTCGCTCTTTCACTTTCATTATTTTTTGACACTAGACACACGCTACTAGGTTGGAGGCCATCGCTAGTAGGTTGGAGGCCATTGCTATTCGGGGGGGAACCGGGGTAAAAGAAGAAAACAACATGGACCTTTCATGACCTACTAGGAGCAATGTTCGCTACTAGGAGCAACATGGACCTTTCATGACCTTTCTTTTTTTCATGACCTTTCGGGCTGCTGTGCTCGCTTTAGGTCTGGATGTCACTCATCCTTTGCTGTTACCAGCTTCCTTTGCCAACGCGGGACTTGTTTAAGGGATTGATTAAGGCCTAGCAACGTCTAACAAATTCTGACTGTATGGAACTTTGAAATAGTAACGCTTGCCCGACGGGGGAATCCACAACTCCGCCAGGTCTTGGAGCTCACAGGGCTTCCGATCTCCTTCGAAGGGCAAGGTATCTCATTGCTCAACCGCTGCTTAGCACAGACACCCTCGCTGCAGCGCTTGCAGCTGAGCAAAGAAAGATCAGAGATTTGAAGTGACTGAAGAGTTGTTTGAAGAGGAACATCATAGTAGGAAGAAGACACATGCTTGGCCTTTGCCATATTTCGCCTTTTCCTTTTTGCTTTTGCCTGAGTGTCTTGCCGCTTCCTTCGGTGAATATACGCTGGATATCCATGCATCGGTCTTTGTCTCTCGCAGGCATCCAAGTTCAGGTTCTAGACTTGAGTTTTTTAACTTAGAAAGACGGCAAGGGAAGAGTTTGTGTGATCCACAGCTCTTCAAAGCATCTTGACCTGTGCTGCAGTAGGCACCAACAATGAAATATTTTTCTGGAGCTTGTTCCAGACAAGAGGTTGAAGAGGAGGTTTTGACAGACTGTAGAAACAGCGCAATGGCGCAACTGTTCACCTTTGCGACGGATCACTCCTAACATCGTACAATTAGAATTCAGTGAAGCGGCAAAAGTAAAACTTGCCAGCTTTTACATTCTACATGTAAGTCGGAATACCGGCTCAGGGTTGTCTACAGTCTCAAGTGTAGAAATGTATTGGCTTTGCATGCGCTTTCGGGTGCATGTCAGAGAGCCTGTCAGTTGCCAAGCTCGGAGCTTGCACTAAGGCATTTAGAGGGTTGTGGACTCCAAGATCGCTCCTTGGATGTGGAAAGGTGACATTATCCGCGTGAGCAATCGCCAAAACGTGCGATGAATTCCTTGGTTAACACCTGCACAAGCCATAGGCCCCCTCAAAAAGCGATAGCCTTACTGAATCATGTCCTCCTCTTTGCAAGACGTTTTGGCAGACGCTCATGTCACCCCGGTAAAGTGTTTGTTTGTTGATCTTGTTTGTCGTGACTGTTCGGGTTGAAACCATTTTTGTTTAGATGACGAGCCCAAGTTTGTTTAGTCCTGGAATTGTTTTGAGTAGACAATATGACTGAAGCTGAGATGATTTGAGCATGTTTCGACAATCAGTCGCAATCGTTGCCTTTTGCAAATCTTCACTCCAGACCTGCAACAAATGCTATAAGGTGGCCTGGGGCAGTTGCTGCCCCACCTTGGTCGCACCTTGGCTTTACGTCTCTTGCACAGAAAGCTGCAGGAGGCGGTTGAGTTGAACTACTGAGGGCGAATTACCAGGTGAAAGCCATGACATGTATACGTTGTCAATTGAACACAGATGCATTTGAGGTTCAAGTTCTATTGATGAGCTTTCAACCTTGAAGGCACTTAACTAGAAAGATGTAGAGAGCTATAATTAGGATGACATAGGACATAGGTGACCTGTCCTTGCTTGGATCGTCTCAGGAAGATTGACGAAGCTGTCCCACCTATCACTGGCACAGAACAGCCTTCGAGATTTGCGCCTTGTGGCGCGGCTGTTACAGGCACGCGCGAGTGCCCAGCAAAAGCGACAGGCGTGGTCAGGGGGGCGCTCCGTAGTGGACTCAAATAATTGTGATCGGCCATGTTGCGGTATGCTTCGCTTGCTTTTTCGACTGTGTGTCAATATTGGAGCTACGGTTGCTACGCACTTTTGCAATGTCAACTTTGAAGAGTGGAGGGCCTGGTCACCAACCTGACCTGGAAGATAAATGCCAGACAAATATGGCTCATGTAGTGGCTCATTTAGATCCCGCAGTTCCTGATGGTTGGATACACAGTAGATTGCCACATAGTATACATATGAGCATCAGAGCATCCAACAAAATCAATTGACTACTAAAGTAGTCACTGGGTGGTGTCGGGATATTTGAAAAACTGCATAACCGATAGGAGCCGATCCGTCTACCAATGCCCTTTCGATGTACCAACATGTACCAACTACTCGTATTACACATTAGTTAAGGAAGCTTGCTGCCATGCTGCAGTTGTAGCGGGCGCAAACAATTGGTATATATATCAGAAAACGAAGTTATGCGGGTGTGGCTTTTACGCGTTTTTGTGGTTTGTGGTTATTCTGTGTCTTTTTGAAAATGTTGGTTATTTTGCAGAATGTGTCTAGCAAAAATGTCGACGTGTAATCTGTCAGATCTTTCATCAAGCTTTTGCAAACATACTAGCTCTCATGATTCCCACACAGAAGTCCATCAACCATCATTTGTCAGAAAGTCCACGACATCACATCATACATCACGAGCTCATCACCTCTATGAGGGTGAGGGTATTGAGCCATGGTGAATTCAGCAGAAGAGGTGACCAATCAGGTTTTGAGCTTGGGTGGCATCACGAGAAAGAATGTCCTTGGCGATGTTGGGTGAACATTGGGAGCATGCTGAGCATGCCAGGTTTGGTGCAACCTGACTTCATGTATGTCTATGTGTGGGCAAGAAAGTTGGGGTAAAGAGAAGGTTCTTCATGAGCTTGGGAATGAGTAGGGGCCACACAGCCAATTCAGACCCTCAGTGTATCTATGGCTGGATCGTTCCATAGGCTTCATAAGGTTCTTTGGAAGATTTCGTCGTAGATGGGGGGGATATGGAGAATAGACCTGAAGAGCCATTGGGTGAGAGCAATGGAGATGAGCAGGATTGGTCCAATCGAACTTGTGGGATAGGATGTGAACTCCCAATGCTCGCAGAATGGTTCCTCTCACCCCGAGAATGAGGATGAGGCTTATTATGGGTATGGACGTCAAGAAGGCCATGCAAAAACCAGTTCCAATCAGTCGTGCAGTACTACTAAGCAAGTTTCTCAACTTTTGTTGGGTCTGGTGGGCACATGGTGTTTCAAGACAATGATCTTCTCTCCATTTCTTAAAGAATGTGGGGGGAGAAGCCCAAAAAGTGCTACCTTTGAAACAATGAGAATGCTTATGGGCAAGGAAGGGTAGAGTGGGATCCAGAGGTTGTTCGAAAAAAGAAAAGTTGGTTTGTTTGGGAGCAGGATCACAAGAACATATCTAGACCGCAGCCGCAGCCGTGGAAACTCTTTCAAAACATTACAAAGTCTAAGCAGAAAAGCCACAAAAAAACGCGGAAAAGCCACACCCGCATAACTTCGAACTCTCAGTTGTTCGTCTCAGTTTGAGCTGCTTACACCAATGGACCTGTCTTGCAGCTGAGTGGAAAGGATTTTGTTGCCCAGTGGCAGCTGGATGATGGAGTCGCTGCTGGCCTTTGGCTGCCTGCCAGCGGCCACAGCTTTTGTGAAATCATTGCAGTCAAAAGGTTGTCCTTCTGGTTCGCATAGGTTCTTTAGAACAGCTGCAGCACGCATCATTTGAAGTTGAGGGTAGCCCTGCCAATTGTGGCCCAAGACTGTGGTTCAAAGAGGCGTGTTGCAAAACCTACAAGAGTCTGCTGACTAGTTTTCTTACCGCCGTGGCTAGCTGCCCTTTGAACATGTTTGTGTCCATGGAAGAGCAACTTCCCGACAACAAGGTGCAACCACTACTTAATTCGTGCCTTCACTGTTGGCATGCCGAACTATGGCAAGGTTGATGCAATGATGCAATTTGTGGAGTCCGATCCAGTTTAGGCTATGTTTTTAGGTTCGATAACAGACCTTGTCCTGCACTCATGCTGCACATTGAAAAGTATGGTGATAGTCAGTTTGTGATTACACAGTCAGGGCATAGTAACCTGCCTGGGACCAATCCTCGGAAAACGACGCAGGAAAAACAACATGTGAAACCTAAGTACAATTTTGATACAATTTGTTAGTTATATTAGCTGTTCATTTGTGCAATGGCATGGATGTTGGAAGGTGGTTCCTCTGAATGTGCTCGACCTTTCCAAGAATCCCTGGTTGGGCGCAAGGCGATCCAATCGAACCCTGCGAGCCTTGGCTGTGACGCCACTCACCAAGTTTATGCAATCTTAACTGTGTCAACTTCTGATATACCAAATTGTTGCTGTGGTTTGCGTGATTTTTTTAATGAGGAATTACAAGCGCTCGCATAGTCACATCGAAAGGCGTGTAAAAGATTGTAAGAGCTCATGTGTTTTGTGATGCATGGATCAGCATATACTGGGTTTGTGTTTCATTCGGACTCACTCGTAGCTGTCGTAGCCCTGCTTGCTTGAGATCTCAGGACCTTGGCAACGGCGAGAGATGCAAAGCGTAATGCCAATCAGCAGCTTTGCTAAATGACCGCTGTTCCTTCTTGAGAGGTGCATAGCTAGTTGTGTTCGCCAGAGAAATTAATATGCTTTATTACTTGACTTTGGTTCAATGTATTTTTCAATTTGCGGCCTTTGGTGCAGTATCTAACGATACAAGAACATCGAAGTGCGTAAACCGTTTGTACCACGTTGTCGTAATATCAACTCCAACTCCATGGAATTTTGCTAGCTGCGCGGTGGCTTATGTCGGGTTTGGTTTCGCTTCCTCAGCTCGTTGCTACAGGCAGAGAAGACCTGCTCAGAGTGATTTGTTTGGCTTTGAGAAATGGCCTGCTGGTAAAAAAGGTTCGCTTAAGGCACCTTGACAGCTACAGTGCCAGATGTGCAACCAGATCTGGGATCCTGAAGTCTGCTGTGGGCATATTCTTCTTGACTGTTTATGGTGAATCTATTGTGTACATGACACCATCGTGGGTGAGGGACATTCCGGCAACCAAATCTCTGTACAGGTATTCAGCATTATTCAGCCACTGCCCAGCGCGCCCATTTCCCTTACACATTTCGCTAGTAGTACTTTGTCCTTATAATCTTGTATGGAACTGCTTTGCAGCAATGGGACGGAACTTTCAGTGGACAACACAGCCCTGCATGATGGAGTGTTTGAAACTTGAACTGGACCTGCAAACCAATTCTGGTTGTACTGGTACTTGTACTTGGAACTTGACCTTCGACCGACGACCCTGCGCCAACGTGTTTGGGGTATAGCCCCCCAAGAAACGACTCTGCAGAAATTGCCACTGAAAGTCCACCCTTGACCGGAACTCACCTCGCCGTCCTGTGCACATGTTCTCCAACCTAATTTCTAGTGTACGACTGTACGCCTTCAGCATATTATATAGGTAGATAAGTTAGGTCGTTTGAGATTAGCAAGATACTCTCAAGAAGGGTTCATTCAAAGTTAGAGTTTCAATACTGCAGATACATGGGCTTGCGGCGTGATGATTTGCGGCCCCTTCAGCAGATGCTGCGATCAGAGCTCGCAAATCTTCATGCAGGTGCAACTGGATCCATCAGAATCGAAATCGAGTGGGTTGAGTGAGCTCGATGCCAATCTACATGTCTTGCATACTGGGAGAACGACATTCATCTTTCTTTGCTCCAATTTCATTGTATAACGTTCCAACATGCTTTTGTCAAGCAACTCTTCATAGGTAGCTCCAATGCAGGTCCTTTTCTTCCATTTGTTTCCCGCATTGCTCCTTTTCTCTTTCCTTTCCTGGCAAATGTCAGGATATCGTCGGCACTTCCCCTTGGCAGAGCTCAGCCTTGAGGGGAACCCATTAGAAGCAGCTGTTTTGGCTGCAATTACACATGCACTTCAGCAGCTCTCACCCAGCAGCTTTTGGCCGACCTGGAAAGAGCCGATGAGCGGGAAGGAGTTCCCCGATGAGGGGTTGCTCGAGCTGGGGACAGCCGCCCCGCTCGAGCTCGGGCGAAACCGGCTCCGCAGGACGCAGTCGCAACCCAGCTTTGCCACCACCAGCCCAGAGATTGTCGAAAGGAAGGCACTGAGTGAAGGAGATGTTGAGGACTCCATGGATTTCCGTCCAAGGGAGAAGACCATCAAGGAGTTCCAGGAGGATTTGCAGATCTTGTCTGACTTCCTTGAAGCTCGATTTCGGCCGAGACATTCTCAACGGACACGACATGAGAATCGTGCGAGTAGCGAAGACTCTGGAATCTTGGTGGCGTAACTCTTTAACTTCAAGACCCTTAACAGAACATGTTTCTTTTTTCCCCTTCAGTGCCTTCCAGAATCATATCATACATGGTCATTCCACATTACTACCTCATTCTCAGCGGTTCTCCAGGAATGGATGTCATTGCAACCATTCCGGACATGGGCATGGACTTTGGTTTTGGACCGCCAGTCCTGCATGGCACCTACTCCCACACCGACACCCCGCCTGACACGTCCGTAGTCGAAGCGACAGACGAACACGCAGGCTGGGGTTTTCAGAAGTACTGATTTTTGAAGTGATCTATATATATATATAATTATATATATATATTATACTTATTATATGTATAGTTGCAGGGGATGTAGTGATATGATGTTGGGTTGGTATAGGATGGCAGAGAGATAGTCCAGAGTATGTCTAGTAATTATACACAGATAGGGAACATGACGGAACACTTAAAGAGACAGAGAGAGCGCACTGGAAGTTCATAGTATAGAGACAAGATGGTGCTTTGGCCTATTGGGCCTATTGCCTTTCAAGCTTCCTGATTTGTTCTGCGTCTGGGAGGTACCGACTCCAGCCGGCGTGAAGCACCGCCAAACCGGTACCCAAGCAGCTCTTTATTTGTAAGGTGTGCAGACTGAAACTGTGTTTTTCTTCTTTTTTTAAATAGCAAAGGAGCGCTATCAAACTTAAGTCAAAGTGCTCGCAGTCCTTGACGACATGTTTGCATTTATCAAGTTGTCGTAGAATTCCTGCAACCTCCTGCGTAAGGTTGGACCATCACGCCCGGATGCAGCAGATGCTCAGGCATTTGCACTTGCTTGCGGGCGAGGGAGAGGTTCCTGTGGAACCCGTCCTGCGAATTGCATTGGACGCGGTCAATTCGGAAGCGAGCTTCCAAGATGCAGAGGCAAGGAAGGGGGTGCACTCTGAAACCATGCGTGCTGCAAAATCAAGAGGGTTGAAGGAGCAGGACAGGAAGTTGCAAAACCTTTGTGCAAAGATAAACAAGTGGAGTGGACATTTGGTCTGAAGCTTGTTTGTGGATGTCTATGATGAAAGACAAAGGAAGCAGTTTAACTTTCTTCGGTCCATTTGCCATACTACCGAGATGTACCGCGAGTTCAACTGTGAATCTGTCTCCTTGTCACCTGCTTGGCTACATGCGCAGGAAATACCATTCTTGATTTCTTTCAGTTCGGATAGGTGGCCCATCGAGCGTTGTCTCATTGGGTTTGGCAAGGCCTTTGAACACGAATAAAAGAGCTTCATTCTACTATTGTCTCCTTGTGCTTCTCTTCTGAGGCACAGTTGCAAAACCTCATGAGACGTGAGAGCAGCGATGACGCATCTGAAGAAGATACAGTTGGAATGCGGCGATCGCACTCGGTGTAGCACGTTGAGTGTTGGAGTGTTCTTATTGGGCACTCTTGTGACCTAGCAAGAGGTCGTGAGCCAATGTCCATGCCAATGTAAAAAGACGCTTGCTTTCACCAGCAATGAGCCATCAGAAGCCTTTTGAATGTCTTGTTTTTTTTGGCATGCACGCAAAAACAATACAACCAAGTGATATGAGTCGTTTCAAAATTGTTGTCATTTACTTTATACAAGGGCGTTTCATCCAAGAGTGTGATTTCCAAAAAATCGATACCCCTATTGTTACATGCATTATTTCCTTGATTTTTTTTCATTTTGGTACTGTATATCCTCCTGCTGCAGCAACTCTTCTAAGCATTTGTGCTCAAGGGTCTGAAGGGCGTCGCCTCATGAACTGATGTGTTCTTGCAAGTGCCACAGGCAATTACGGACTGTGACTGCTTGTGTTTGTCTTTGGAGGGCTGTGTCCTGGCTCTTGGCTCATGGGCTGGCCCCAGCCTATGAGGACACGCCTTTGTCCTCTTGTCTTGGTTCGGAAAGGGGTTGTTGTCTCTTTGGTGGAGTGTGAGCGCAGCGTGTGTGCTTACAAGCGCTTGATGTCGTAAGACACACAAAATGTCAACATCATAAAACGATACCCCAAAATGGTCCAAAATGACACCCCAAAGCTCCCTAGACAGTGCCCCATGGGCAAGTCTGCAAAAGTGCAGGGGGTCGTGCGTCTTCCAGTATTCTAGTGAAAGGGATCCGATCAGCAAACGAGCGGTGTTGGAGCAGCCCTTTGCAAACAGTGCTGTTGTCCTTCCTCACTTCACAGAGCTTGTCACAGTGTTTGGACGGGGTGCTCTCAGATCATGAGTGGTCGCGAATAAGGGCTCCTGCGTTTTGTTTTCTGTGCGTTGGTGTTTGTGTTTTGTTTGTTATGATCCGTGACGTTCACTGTTGGTGGCAAGGCTCCCCAATTCGAAACATGTAAAGCCTGCAAAAAGATGCATGCCGTGCGCATTCTATCAAACAATGAAAGACGAGACGGGACGCCCTGAACTTGATCGAGCACAGGTTAAGCAAGTAGTATATAATTTTGGAAAACAACTCATACACAACCAGTAATTAAGTTGAGTGGCCCAGCAAGAACATTGAATTTTCCTCATTGCTAGGTGAAAGTTAGAAGCAACATGTTTGTTCTGGATGAATTGGCGCCGTTGAGGCCAACAAGTGCGCCCAAGAAGGCGGAGGCACACGGGGGGAAATCGTAGTACTCAACGCTTCCTCTTCTGATTGCAACGTAAGGTTTCCACAAGGAATAGTCCGAGAAACAACCGTATACATTTATAGTTCTAGTCCTAGTTCTAGCAATGTTTTTTGATTCAGAGGCTTTGTTCCTTGGCTCGTAATTTGCGTGGAATGTCAATTTTCTTGAATTTTCCTCACCCAAACCTTTAAGTACGCGTGTGTTTTTTTTTTTCTGACGCATGACCGAACTTGAAGCTCAACCCAAGGGATTGGCCCGATAGACACTCACTGTAATTGCTGCACATACATACCAATACAATCCTATATATACACAACATATGTTTGATATGGTATGATTGATTTGCTGGTTTATTTGCAAGGTGCCCTCATCGCGACATGGAGGTGCAGTGAAAGGCACAGAAACCGCTGAAGAGAAGAAACTTTCAAGATAGTTGTTTAGACTCAATATTGCATCTACAAAATGCAAGTCTTCAATACCTTTGATTTTGGATCCTGACTGAAAAGATCTTTGCCTTGGTCGATCAAAGACTTCAGATGTAACTGACGCCTTGCCGTTGCTGACAGGCCAGAAGGCCCCCAGTGGGACTTCCACTGAGCTGCAGCTTCGACGCCTTGGCAAGGCAGGTCGCTGAGAGTGGCACAATGGTGTGGCAATTGGACCAAATCCTTCCGAGAAGAACGCCTGGTTTGCAATAGCCAGGTTTCCTTCAGTTAAGGCCTAAAGCAGTTCAAGAACGAAGGAAGTCATTAGGTCATTAGGTCTTGAGTACAAATGCCCGCAACAAGTTTCTTGTTCATGTTCGTTTCAAATTTGGACAAGTTGGACATCCGAAGCCGCTGATTTGGGAATGGGTTCGCCTTGGTGATCCAGGAGTTGGCGGCCGAAGGTCAGCGCTTTCGGCAACAAGGAAAGCTATGTTGCGATCTCAAGTTGCTACAACATTTGTTTCTGTGGGAAGATCTTGTACTTGTTTCTGAACGACATATACATCCCAAAGAAACGTTCTACTTCAATGACACTAAGACGACCGGTATGCATGTCCGATCACAGCAGCCCTAGCAAGCCGGACTGAAATGCTCAGGTTTTGAATTGGCTGTGCGCGCAGAGGCATTGCATTCAGAGGCTGTAGGGCAAGCTCATTCTTCCATATTCTTCGTTGATTCAAGTTGGGTCAAGTCACTCTCATGCTTTGCCAGATGAAGGCCATGGCGGCCATGGTACTGTTCAATTTGCACTTGCTTCCAGTGTTGCGCAGTCTTGCGCCTTGGTTTGCCCATAGCTTCAGTTGGGGCTAGGTACACCAGATCGATTGAGATGGTGCACATTAAAGCCGGTACCAGTTGGTTTTGACGCCTGACATCTTATTGTTTGCTGGCCGTGCAGTTGTTCACATTCATTTTGGCAAAGAACTGGATACTCTACCTCTACCACCCTCTACCCATAAACGTGTTTGTGTGCAGGTTCGTGTACAGCAGCAGCATGCTGCAAGAGAGCGAGAGGCAGCCTTTGCCAAGTTTGCTCAGAAATAGAGAGTTTTTGTAGATCCCATATGAACAAGTTCTTAAATCGAGACTTCTGCATAAATACTAAAGGTGCACTCTTACAGGACAGCCCACAAGCGATGCTCTTAACAATTATGGCATCCCTCCAATTCTTTGCTGACCATCATGGGCAACAATGTTACGCCCGGAGATACTGTGGCAAGTGTGGCTCAGGGCTCTTTTGTTTCCTTCAGCTGGGACTATAGGTTTTGGCTGTTTGCACAGGCTCAGCGAGCCACTGGCCATGGTCTTAGACAATTGAGAGATCCTTTCAGAATTAACAAATGGTAAGAATCAAAGTGTTTGCCTGCGTCCTTTCACCCTTCAACAGTTCCCGTTCATTCTTTGTAAAGGATCATGATGCATTTTCGGAGTGCATGGAGTAACCTTCGAACCTGCAGTGCCCTGAAGGTTACTAGTTTGTCGTTCCTTTTCTGGCAGGTCGTTTGTGCCAGGGAAACGTCATTTCAGCCTGGCCTAAAAAGGAGAGGGTGATTTGTGCAAGATGGTCTTGAACGTGAGCAGCGACACACGGTGATCTATAAATTAGGATGGCTACATGCGAAACATTTGTTGAATCGGGAAGGATTATGACTCAACGCATCCTTGGCACCAGGAAATGACAACGAGCTGTGAGTGTGATGGATGATTCTACCATCCGCTGACATGTTTGCAAGCGCTGATTTCCATGGTGGCACGGTTTCTCTTGCGGGACAAGACTCTTCACAGCAAAAGAATACATGCATGAGATATTAGCCTGCACCCTTGGTAGAAGCAGCTTTGAGATGGTCTTGAGATGCCATGGTGAATTTGCGAATTAATCCGTTGCAATCGAAGTTTTGTACAGATTGACAGGGAGCATCCCTCTGGAGGGGAATCCAAGTGGAGCCGCAAAGAAGAAACCAACCTGCTATTTGCTCCACATCGGTGCAATCATGAAAACTGCAACATTGTGTTCAAGAGTTCCCAATTATTTCTTCAGTCACCCCTTGCTGCTTCTGAAAGAACCTGTTTTTGCAGGTACACAGCCTGAGCCGCTCTGCACAACATCGAGCCTCTGTGTTGCGAAGGCAGTGCTTTTGACAAGACTCTTATGAACTCGTGCTGTAGCAGCAAAGTAGCAACGCTTTGGTGGCACTAGGTGCACATGTTCATTGGTGCTGCTAAGAGAAAGTTGAAGTTAATGACAGAGATCCTTCCACCTCCTGGTTATTATGTATATGTTATTCCTGATTTTATAGAGAAAATATTTTGGAATCTCTATTTTAAGCTCGGGTGTGTGCCCACATTTTATTACGGGGTTCAGGCTGACTTGATCGTTTTATAGAGACTTTTGGTGTACCCCTGAAGTCAGTTCCTTATAAAATTATCTGGAATTCACCAGGGGATTATATATATATATATATGTTTTTGTGTTTTTAAGTCTAGACATATCCAAACTAAACCGTAGTTGTTTGTAAAGTCCTGAACGCCGGCAACTTTGGTACAGTTCGCTCCTTTTTGTGCAGGACAACAAAACCCTGTGGTCGGGGGTCTCCCTATTCAAGCTGCACACACCCACGACTGTGTCAGCCACTTGGACAGGTCCTTGGTGTGGCCTTAGCCAATGCAGCTGCTGCAGCTGCTCATCGAGGGTCGGGGAGAGGGTCAGACAGTCTTTCCTGGTCGGTGAAGACATGAACATTCTTGAACATCCTCATTTTGCGAACAATTCAATAAGGATGCTACTAGGGGCTCCTGGCATCGCTACTAGGAGCAAGGACGCTACTAGGAGCAAAGGGCATCGCTACTATGAGCAAGGACGCTACTAGGGGCTCTTAATATAAGCCCCTAATATGTTGTGGTGCTTTTAATGATATGTCTTTCTGATTCTTAACCCACTGAAGAAGCTTCTCGCTTGAAAGTGTTTCTAGACAACTTGGTTGACGGGACTGACGGGAGCTTTATTTTTTGAAGCAGCTTAAGCATCTCTTGGCAAGTGCTGTGTGAGTGCACAATGATCACAATGTTGCTTAGATAGTGGCACAAACCGAAGGCCTGATGCAAGAGGCATCACCCGTTCATTCAAAGCTGTTCGGTAAGATAGTTGGCTCTTACAATCTCCTATACTATACCTATTTGATCCTATTCGATAGAGTTGCAGATGGTGAGACACGTAAAGCCCTCCCTTTCAACCACGTGTTTGTGACATTGCCATGATTCATTCTCATTGCATGTTCACACACGGATATGTGCTGCAAGTATGGGTCTCATCCAATGCCACTGAACAATGGAATATGCCATTCCGGTCAGTCAAGACCATGTGATAAAAGATGTTGGATTCTGGCTTGATTCGCTTGACTGCCAGGCGAGCGCGCGCTGAGCCAGAAAGGCCAGTTGTGGTGTCAAAATGTTGATGAACTCTTGCTGTGCTTTGGGTGTATGCAGATGTTGCCAATTCGTCACATCGAGGTTGGAGCCGACACCACAGCAGAAGCCTAGACAGGCGAAGCGGAAAGACGTCTTTACAGACTTCACTGTGAAGCCGACGGATTCTGCCAAGCTGGTGGTGAAGACCATTAGAGTCCCAGCGGTGCGCGACGAAGTGGAGCTGAACCGCAGTGAGAAGAGCCAAAGTCCCAGTCCGGAGCGGTCGCGGCCGCCGGGCTACAGCGAGAAGCGCCGGAAAGTGGCCACTGCCATCGCTGCAGCCCTGCGTGGATTGGCCAAGGCTGAGGAGCAATGCAAGGCGATTGCACCGGCAGCGTAACAACTGGTGCTTAGTAATGAATTGAGATGCTTAAGAATGAGAAAGGGCCATCGCTATTAGGTTGGAGAGACCGAGTACATGCCACTGACAACTGGTGGGATCATGTAGGAAGTCATTCATGCGGAGAGATGTTGAACCAGGCTGCCGGTACATATTGCATTAATTCTTTCCCTGGGGAAGGGCTGGCCAGTGAAGCCTTACTTAGGCCGAGAGGCTTCCACTGGAGCTGTTTGGGAAAGTTCTGAAACTTTATAGGAACAACATTTGATGCTCACCAGTGCTCAAGTGCTGAGATGTTGGTATCGCTAAAAGCAGGGGGCCCAGCAACTGCCAGTACTCTTTTAGAGTTGTTTCCCTTCTTTTCCGCAAAGAAGCAGCATTGGGCGCTTCGCATGCAATCAATTCGCACTGTCGGAATCTGTCGAGTATAGTTCATCGTCAATACCTACGTAGGATTCCTCTTTCGGAAGACAAACAGCTGAAAAATCATGCTGAACCACTCATGTACATCCATTGAGCATAAATGCTGCCTTTTCAATATGTTTGAAATATACTATATATTAATGTGTGTTTTTTTTCAGTGGATGGCCAAAAATTGACTGAAAGCATGTGGTGAAGCCAGTGATGAAAGATCGTCGTGTCCGGCTTGCGATGAGTTGGCGAACTGTGACGTTTTCTTTGTTCGTTGGTTCGTGCATTGAATGATCAGCCGGTTCGCAGCTGATCTTGGGCTGCAAGTGCCGATTCCAATGAGTGATGAGATGTGGCCAGTGTTTGTGGTGTTCATCAGCTATGCGAAAGGGATCTCAATCTCAGCAGAATGGCAGGGACCCATTCACACATATTCATACATGTTCAATCCACCTGGTTTCCTGTGCATCAAATCAAGAATCTTGCATAGCACCTTGTTTGAGCATTGCCACATTTCAAAAGCAAGACTTGAGGAATTCAAGTGAGGTAGTCTAGGGGATGTCGGCACGGAGGCAGGAGAAAGTCAGCTGCGAATAATCCTAGGGTGAGGAAGCAGGGGCTCGGCCTCCCGTTATGCAGCCTGTAAGGCAATTGTATACAAAGGAGATGTAATTAGTATTGTCAGGGCATAAACGTTGCAGCATTGTGGGATTCTAAAGTTAGCTTCTAAAGATAACGCCAAACAGAGACTGAGAGGAGCATTGTGCGCTGGATTATGGACTAGTGACTAGTTGCTGTACTTGCCCCTTGCCGCTGCTGCTACTCAACTCAAGAATTCACAATCAATTGCACTGTTGTTTATTTTTTAAACTTTTTGCAGTCTCACGCATGGAAAATACTATTGGCATCACAAGTCCTTTTCCGAACCAGCGCAGAAGCAGCCTGTTGCAATGTGTTGTAACAGACTCAGCCACACCACCGGCCTTGTCCGAATCAGACTCTCCGAGCATTCCGAGTTTCCCTGTGATCTTGGAAACTGCATCCCTAGCCCCTAGCTACACTTTTGAGTTTGATCAACATTGCGGCGTTTAGCTATGCGCAGGGATGCTGTCACTTGGCAGGGAAGGGATTTAGACACAGTTACCACGATGGCCACGATATTGTGGGGCGAGATGTAGCTTCCACTTCCTGGGCAACAGGAGGTGTTTTGCGAAAGTATTGTAGACATGACAAAGAGCTTAACCCACAGCAGCATTTGCTTTGATGTCCAGTCCAGTTTGCTTGACAAGGCAGTCATTGGCAACATTCACTGCGGGGGTCTTTACAGGGCAAAGCCTCAACGCTTGTCATGCCAACCTCCCGCGATGCTCTCTTCAAGAGGAGGAGCCTGAAATGCTGGAAGGCTCATGTGGGCTGTCTAGTGTTGAAGTCCAAGACCAGGACAAGGATAGCAATGGTTCTTGTTCAAGATAGGTCTCAAAAAGGGTAGTGTGACTGTGACACCTGTGTATAGCAGATCGGAGTAGGTCCCAGCAACCAGTACAGTCAACCCTGTTCGATGCAGTCTGGGAGAATGGATTGGTGCTCCCAATTTAATAGCCGAAGGCCCGCTTAGAACTGATAGGAGGGACAAAGTGGACAAAGCACTCAAAGTCATTCCTTTGCCTGGACCTTCAGCTGAATTCGTGACTCCTCTTTGGCCATAGAGCGCAGTTTCAAGATGCTTCTTTTGTTGAATGAGGGCTCCCTTGACAAACACTTGACACAGTTTGCAGATCACTCTTCCACCAGGAGGGCTGTCGTCTTTTTCTCCACGTGCATGGTGCTCGAGTGCCCACGAGCGAGCCGGGCATTTGGTCCCAGCGGCCCCAGCTGGTGGTTCGTCTGGCAGACTGCGAGAAGCACACGGAGGGCTGCAAGTCATGCGTCAAGCATCATGAACACCAGAAAGACCAGAACATTGAAGTTGAAAAGACGAACAGTTTGGTCTCCATTGGCATTCATTGTTACTGCTCCCACCAAGTGTCCTTTGAGAAATGAGTCCAATGGTTTCTCATCGATTTGAAAAAGAACACGTGGATCTCGAATATGAAGATATATGCTATATGCTCAATTGATGTCCCGCACGCCGACGGGCTCTCAGGAGCCAGCCGTTTTCGCCCCGAAAGCGGGCGAAGCGCACTGCAACTGGCACTTTGGTGATACCTTGACGTTCGTGCTGCGTGCACGTGACCTCATGGGTGCTGGTCTACATGTGCATTTGCAGGGGAAAAGGGACTTCCGCTTCGGACTCTTCCAGGTGAGACTGAGAGGACAGGACTCCTTTTTCTTTGGCCGACCGACCTCCTACTTCATGAAGTAAGCGACCTCCTAGGCTAAGTTCGCTCCTTAGCTACTTTATGCTACTACATACTGGACGCGGGAGAAGAGCTTGCACGATGATAGGTGATTCTAGATCTTTAGGGACAATTAACACACGTCTGAGAATTGGCATGCCAAAGGCTGGTGTTTGTTCACCCAAGTCTTAGGAGGCTTCAGCATTTTCGGTTCCTTTTGACCAGTAGTATTGTGCCGTCACCCAATTGATACACCGTGTTGATCCCTTTTGAGGAGAGCAAGTTGAGTGAATGCACTTTATGGCGAGAGTCGTTTTGGCAAAACAAGTCTTGAGGCTTGGGGACTAAGTTCCCAAAGCGCTTTCTTGTCAAGGTGGATTTATCTCAATCGTCTGACCTTGGAGATGGTTTGCTGGACTTGCGGCAACTCCTCCACCGTTGCCAAGCTAGCAACGATGCGCGCTGGGAGTCGCCAATCGTTGAGATCCCATTGCTTCACTTCCGTGCAGCCACCGCCCAAGAGGTCAGAATCTCAGCCCTTTGGAACTTGTAGCGGCGCATGGTTTGCAATGGCACAGACCGCACATTCAGTAATATCATAATTATCATGTTAAACTTATCATCATAGATTAATTTGATATAGCGTCTTGTGGTACCTATATACCAATGATGTTATTCACAGCTCAATTGTTGGGATAAAAAGGGCGTCTCCAAAGCAAGTGAGGCAGCTCCTAGCGTTTTTGTGCAAGTGAGCCTGAACGGCGACCCCAACGCCTTGCTGAAGCAAGTTGAGATGGCAGAGAAACCTGTGGTGGAACGGATGGTGTGATTTGTCTTGCAAGATGCGTGAGTAGGGTCATTATCTCTAGCAGCAGCAATGCACATCACACGCATGCATGCAGCATATCACTGAATATGTACTGGCCAGAAAGCGAAGCATTTTGATAAAGAGAGACATTCGGGTCATCTCAGTTTTGACAAGCAACTTCATGGTCATCTCAGCATTGCTCAGGTATCCTTGTGTTCAATGTGTTACCTCGGAGGAAGCTTCCGGCACAGAGCCCGAAAGCGAAGAGCCACCTGAGGCAGACTATCGTACCTGTGACTTGTTCCAAGATGGCAGACTATCGTAGCATGTTGGATCCAAGAGAAAGAGCCAAGAGCAGAATGTAATTTGCACTGCTACTAGTATACCACTGCAAAACGAACCATTTGTACTTGTAGCATATGACATATGACACCGCCGGCGTTTTTTTGCAATGACTTTCATTGTTTACGGGATTTCAGCAGCTTGTTTCTGGCCGTTTGCGGTGGCCACGTCACCCACCATCGCGATCCAAGGTGAGGTCCCCAGCCTCCGAGCTCAAACTCAGGACCTTTAATGGGGTAAAACGCCTTCACACCGGTCTCGGTATTTTCATATTGATCTGGGAGATGGGAATGGGGCAATTGCAGTAACAAGACCATGACAAACAGGTCCACCATGTGCATGGTTTGCAGATGTTTTAAGGGTTCTCCGCACGCGCAGATGTTTTCAAACTTGACTTTCCCGAAGCCAGATTGCAGGACATCGCATTTCCAGCTCAAAGCCTTGCTCCAGGCTTTTTGGCGAGAGCGCCGCACAATTTCTTGCGCGAACGTGACACGCTGCTTACACGCAGAGTGACACCAGTCCAGTCTCCATGCAGATTTGCGTAGGCTACCAATGTGGGTACCGTGGACCCTGGGAGCTGCACACCATCCCTGGAGGCCTGGTTGCACTCATTCAGATGGAAACATGATGAATCTAGTTACATATACTGTAGTATTACTGTACGTATATTATAATATATACATATGACAAATAATCAGTTTTTAGTTAAAGTAAAAAGCCATTAGGACATTACATTTCGCTTATACTCCCTGTGAATAAATGCTGTTGCAGGTACTTCACTTCCGCTCACCAGGTTGCCACAACCAAGACCTTCCCAGGCGGAAAAAACACTCCTGTGGACAATTTACGTCAGTTTGCTTGTCCTGTGATGTCTTGCTTCTGTGCATATGTCTTTATCATGTTTTGCTCCAAGGCATGTTTGAAAAGCTTCTCTTTGAATGATACTCGGATGCGCCCAATATGGAGGCCTTTGCACCTCCCGCGCACAACTCGCACCGGTGGAAAATCGCTGCACCATGCGAAAAGTCGACATGTAGTAACAAGTGCATCGCTACTAGTAACAAGTGCCATACTAGTAGTAACAAGAAGCTACTAGGAACAAGTAAATTGTACAGTAAATGTGTTCGCACCAAGCATGCTGCATGCTACAGTCCCCCTCCTGCATGTGGTGAGATGATTGATGCCAACGGAGAGCTTATCATGCACATGGCAGGGTCATAACGTGACAAGACATGCCTTGATCATGAATTGACATCAACAACAACGCAGCAATTTTGGCTCCAGCGGCGTGGTGGCAAGGCCTTGCATCACACGAGTGACCTGTCTCTTGAGCGTCATGATCACCGACACAATGACCCTTCGCTGGATTGCAACAGGCATGATTCTGCTCGTGTCTTTTTCCGGTGTCGGCTTCCCATTCTTCGTGATGCGCATCAACGAGAGACTTTTCGACTCAATGTGGTTTCAGCTGATGCGAGTACTTTGTACTGGGCTCGTGGTTTCAGTTGCACTGCTGCACGTACTAGCTGATGGTGAGGAGTACTTGCGCAATGTGTCAGATTATCCTGTTGCAGATGCTGCAGCCCTATTTGGAATCTTCCTGATGGTCGCGGTCAAGGATCTGGGGATGATGGCTCTTAGGTACGTGAGGCAGCACACTCATGGAAATGAGCTGGAAGAAGGCCTGATTGGCAAGGGAGCGGATCACAGCCTTCATAGCCATTCACACGTTGGCCATACACACGGCCTGCCAAGCATTGAGCTCCGCGACATAGATTTGTCAGGCCAGCCCCTCAGGCGTTTCGTTGTCTATATGATGGAGGTCTCAATCATGGTGCACTCTGTACTTGTTGGCGTGGCCTTGGGTGTATTGAAGCGGCGTGTCGCAATTCTGTCCTTGGGTGCAGCGCTCTTGTTCCATCAATTTTTTGAGGGGCTAGCACTGGGGGCTGTGGCTGTGAAGAGTGACATCAGCTTCAAATCCTCATGGC